GTTGACTCTGGGTGACATGTGGCGACTTAAAAAAAAATCGTTTTTTGGCTGTGTAGATGGTGTTGCTCCATCTGGGTCACTGCCGGTGGTTGAGACGGTGGGGTCTTTGGCGACTAGTTTTATAGCCCCATGTAAATTACTTAGGTGCTTCAGGAGATTGGCATTGCTGTTTTTCGATGTGGACAATGCTTTCTGTCCTGCACACAGTGGTTATATTTCCAAGTTGCAAATGCGTTGCTGCTCTCGCTGATACTTGCATCTGCCATTGTGTATGTGTGTGTGCTGGTGGTGAGCGTTGCCGTGTGTGTTAGCATTAGCAAATGTTCGTGTGTGTGTATTCATGGTATTTTCCCCATAAGGCAAGACCCGCCCAACTCTATCTCTGATTGGCTTACCCTGAAATGTTACCCCGCGTTAACCAATCATCACTCCTCTCTGGTTACTTTCACTTTTCCATGGTGCTGTGAGAGGACATAGCTGTATTCCCCTGTAAATTACATCCGCAGGGAGATTCGCTTCAGTTCCATCACATAATGTAACGCAGTAATGCACCCATTCAAATCACAGTAACTATAACGGCGTTACTTAATGGGAATAGGTAACTAGTAACACCATTAGTTACCACAAAAAGTAGTTACGTTACAGTAACGCGTTACTGTAACGCGTTAGTCCCAACACTGCAGATAATAAATAAATACATATGTCCTTTATTAAGTTGCATGAAAACGAAATACTTAAGTAAATCACAACTACCTAAAAACTGTACTTGATTGAAGGTTCTGTGCCTATTCTGTTCCATTATGTCTCTTCTTCCTATACTTAACACATGGTACTTGAGCACAGCACTTGTTTCTCATTACATGATGTTAAACAAAAATGAACCGACCAGACTGATGTTTACACGTTGACATCAAGAGGAACATGCTGTAAGTAATTGCTTTTATGTAATTGCAAATACATTACATTTAGTCACACATGCTTTGTCTTTACAAGCATGTGTATTTCTTGTTAACCATTACAGCTTGTTTCAATAAACATACATTTACCTTTATCGGCACAGTTGTGGTTTTTTGTGTCAGTAAAAAAAAAGGCTTCATGTAGTCATTTCTTGCCAGACATCCCGCATGCTTCCACTGAACTCCAAAACACAGGTTTGGGCAGGTTTTTTTTTATCAGTTTCTCTGACACAAACAAAAGTAAGTAAAGTAAAGTATGCATATTCAACTTTCAATTAGCAAGTCAAAAGACAAATGTACGTGTTGGTCCACAGATTCAACACTGAAGTGATGTTATATTTGCATATTATTCTGTCTCCACCTGCTCCTGACAACATATCTCTTTAGCTTCAAAATGCTTTTTCCTTCAAAACTAAAACTCCTGAAAGCTGATGGGATTAGCTGGTGGTATTTGAAATAAGCCTTGAAGTCTATAAACCATGGTGACCAGTTTTAGTTCACATTTGTTGTTCTCTGAAACCATTCATGTTCAGAATTGCACATTTCTTGTCATCAGCATTTGCAAACATTTAAATATTAGCAAATAAGTGCTACTGCTGATTTCACTTTTGTTCAAAAGAGCAATCAACCCAAAGACAGGGTGGGACTTGCCCTGCTGTGGCCCCTGAAGAATTTATCAATCTGGTTCCAAGTCACACAAAGGCGTGTTGCTGCTTCAGAAGGTTGTGGGCCACCCCACCCCACTTGAACAAAAGAACCTGGAGTTTGAAGATTCTGTTGGAGAAATGTAAATGTCAGCTTTTGTCTCCACAGGTGAGATAACGCATTTGGTAGTCATAAAATTGTTGGCTTGATGACTTTTAGGTTGGGTAATCTACCCACTTTTTCCCTCAGGGGACAAATGAATCATCTCATGTAACTATAATTATTTATGACTTTTTGACATAAATGTAAACTGTCTGTTGCACAACTGATATTGTCTGATATATCCAGCAACTTACAATACAGATATGATGGGTCTATTTCATTTGATAGAAACACAAAGTCATTATTTGAAAGAATTTGAAACAGCCTAAATCATTTTTTTTGAACTGATGACGTCTACTCTTTTCGGTCATGAATGGAAGCATTCTCACGCTTGATCAAGTGGAATTTTATTGTCACCTACTGATTCCACCTGCACTTGCACATTAGTATTTGAACAACGTCAATGTTTCAACATGACACATGTGTCTGCATCTGGTTTCGGGAACATTTCACATGTCTTCACAGGTTGTTTTTTATGTTACGCAATGGATTGTTATGAAGGATTCAAAGCCCACCACTCCCTCTCCGTCCTGTTTTGCTTCTCTCAGTTGACAACCTGCAAAACCTGAGGGTCGTTCGCACACAAAGACAATGCTCTCTGTAATCACAAGGTATCCTGTTCTGCATGTCACAACCTGGCAGGTTTGATAAGGATGATTAGCATCTCTGCTCACTTTCAGTTTGTAAAGGAAAAATAATCAATCCAATAACACACAAAGAGTGTTTAAAGGCGCTGACACACCAGGCCGAAATCGGCCGTTTTCGTTAGTCGGACGACGAAGCATGCCCTGTTGCCCAAACTCAATTTGGTGTGTCCCGCACCGTCGGCCGTGACACGCCTTATTTGGCATTTCATGGCCGACGCACGGCCGATTCAACATGTTGAATCGGCCGTGCGTCGGCCACAGGCAGTCGGACAAAGACATCACTCTGATTGGCTGTTCAGCTAGCGAATCAGTGCATGAGAAGCGAAACGGTTGCTTGAGAATGTCTTCCACAAGCAACACTCCAATGGCTGATAGCTCCAGTACCGCACAAAACCTGTTTTCAATGGACGAGAGTGAAAATGGAACGCACACGCTATTTGTTGTTTGTTTAGATCACGCAGTCTGTTCTTCTTCTCTGTCTTCCGGTTGTTGCCTTTTTTGAATGACGAATACACACTACCGCCGCCTGCTGGTAAGGAGAGTTATTGCCACTCAGGCATGCGCTGTTCGTACGTACTCGGCTGAAGTCTTTGCTGTGTGTTCCAGTGCGACACATGGCCAAGACGCAGGAGAACACGCCGACGCAACAGTCGGCGTCGGCGTCGGCGAGTTCTCTGGTGACTGCCTGGTGTGTCAGGGCCTTAAGACTCCTGCATTTGGACAGAATAATCTTTAAGACTCACCAAATGTACAACTCATTATGTGAGCTTTGTTTGAATGTCAGTTGAGCAAATATGCTCACCCCTGGTACAGTAAGAAAGGATCAATCTGCATGCTTGTTATTGTTTAAGAGCACAAAGGGTATGCGCTGAGGAAATCTGCAGGAATTCCTGGCATCCTGTGATCAGAAGAAAGGGATAACCGGTCGTTGCTCCCTGGCAGGCAGGAGAGGAGGGTGTTTCTCTGAAGGGGAGGGGCTTAACAGCTGGACCTGCTTTATATCTGACCAGGGAGCACTGAGAACTGCTCTGAGATGTTTGGAGCTCCTCCAAACATCAGTGACTCTCACACCGGCATAGATTGACTAACCACACTGAGACTTTCTACACAAATCAGGTAAGAGCAGCCTTATTTATCTTAATGTTTGGGGATTTAAACTTCAATCATTTATTTGTTTCTAAAGAAATAATCAGTCTCTATAAGAAAAGGCTCTTTCTAGGTAGTGGAAGTGTTGTTAATCCAAAGTAAAACCACTTTTTAAACTGCAGCTTAGTTTTTTTAGAGTGGTACTGAGATGGTGTTGAAATAGCTGATGTCAGTCAACACCCTTCTGATAAAATGGGAAAGCAAACATTCCTCACTGATTACCACACTTCCACATTCCTGTTTGGGTAACCAGTGTGCTTAATTTTCTTCCATTTTATACTATGTTTTTTATTTTGTTTGTTTTAAATTTTGTTTGTAAGTTTTGTTTTATTGTGTCTAAATTATGTTCTGGTGCTTTTATGACATGTGGCTTGTGTGTTCATTGATCAATTATGTTGACGTCTTATTGTTTTGTCAAGCACTTTGTGACTTTGTCTGTGAAAAGCGCTTTATAAATAAACTTTACTTACTTACTTGTTATAATAATCTTTTAACACAAGGAAAACCTGAATATCCCTGTTAATGCTTATCTGAACATTGTGTCTTTATTATTAATCCGGCATTTTTCACAGAAACAGAAACTTTTATGCAACAAGTGATACTCCATTGCCTCACACATTCCTATTTTTCCTTGTCAAGAATGCAATAAGAAAGATTGAGTGTCTATATTCGTGATGCAACAGGCCATGCAGACATTGTGTCCTTCAAAAGGTGAAAACACATTTGCAGTGGATTGTTAATCTTGTTCTACTCCGAACATCTTAAGACAGATTCTTGCCTCAGTTGAAGCTAAAGTTAATGCCCTACAGCCTACAGTATATAACTCCTTCAGACAAGTATGAGTAACATGGTTTCACTTTTTACTCTAAATACATTTCATATAATAAGCCTTACATACCATTTTACATATTGTAATACTGGAATATGAGGTATCTTTTCAAAGGTCATCTATGTTATGAACCACCTAATATGTGAAAGGCATCTGTATGTTCATTACAAGCATAAAAATAATGAACACAAATGTAGTTATTATTAGAATCAGAGCTGCAACGATTATCTGACTTGTTGATTTACAAAAAAATTGATTGACAATCATTTGACAGATGAATTAGGATATTGTAAAGTTAAATAAAATAGAGTTATATAAAAAGTCCTAGATTCCTTAAGATATCATATCAGGCGCTCAGACAATAATTATTGTGATGGTCACTTTCCCGCAGTTTTACAGTTTTACTCATGGGCACAAATATCTTCTATTTAGACAGATTGTCCTGGCTAAATTTAAGCTAAAGTTAGAAGCCCTATAACTCAAGCAGACGAGGAGGTCATAATCAAATAAATCATCTAGATAATACATAGATAACAGATATTGAGGTGTAACTACTTGCTTGTACAATCTAATATAATCTGAAACACATGTCTACTTGTTTGTTTTTGCCGACACTGTTACAGAGGTGGTAATTAAATCTTATGTTTTAGCCCTGTGGCGTTGTAGTTGGACTGCATTCTATTGAGGAGTTTCTTTAATATTATGCACCCACCTTCAAGTGTCTTAATATGAATAACAAAATAAAAGATGCAGTGTGTGCTCAATATCAACTGTATATAACATTTACACCTCTCAAATGTCAATAAAAGCGGACCAGTTTATGTTTCTGAGACAGAGTTCCCGCTTATTTAACACAGCATTAACTTTATTGTCACTATCTCCTCTGTGGTGTGAAAGTTAAGTACAATAGGCACATTATTACCAGTGAAGCTACAGTATCTTCACATACTTCAGGCAGGTGGAGCATCACGATATGATAAGCAAACAGCATGGTGCAATAAATGTAAAGTAAATGTTCAACATCTAATTCAAACATTTACAAAGTAGGAGACGGCCTCAAATAGCACATTCAGCAGCACTGCAGGACAGCTGTTGTCATACAATACACAGCCTGTGTTTCAGCATGTTGAAAAAAGTACACACCTTTAGTCTACAGAGACATGACAGGAGTGCCACTTTTTACTCGCTTAAGGTGCGTGAATGGTGATTAACATGTCATGCGGAAAAGCTATTTTGTTGACTTTCTGACACAATTTGCACAGTAAGTAACATGGAAGTGATTATAAAGAGAATGGAGCCTTGTCTAGAGTTACCCTCTCTGTTGTGTATTGCAACAGTTAGCAGGTTTGTGAAGCCCATGACCCAGTTCCTTCCACAACTTGTTTTCTTAGAGTGTGTTTTCAATCCTCCTGAAGGCAATGACATCATGTATCACACAGCGCCTGAGCCACAAATCTATCAACAGAAGGTGTGGGAAATAATTTTATGCAAATCAAATTCACTTGTTTGAATGATGTCATTTGCATCAGTGAAACTGTTAGAACTTGAATATTTCGGTATGGTCATTGTCAGTCTGGTACTGTATCGTCTCATTCACATTTAATTCAAAGCTTTATAAGATCTAGAACACTAAAACGCTAAAATACATTGCACTATTGTTAAGTTTTGTAGTGTTGGATATTTTTCAAACCTCACTGGCTCTCTGCCTGTTTAAATCTTGACCTTTCCCTCCCACACACTCCCACTTTCCCTCCTTTTTTTGGGACATTTATACATTGTTTTTACTGTTTTTATTTAATGTGTTATTTCTAGTTGTTGAATGTGATCTGGTATTTGATTGCATTCCTGTTTTCTTTGGTTTTCTTGGTTTGTGAAGCCACAATAGTTTTGAAATACTATTATTATTAATATTTCCCAAATGTTATAAATACGGTCAATTTTTTCCCCTCATCACCCGGTGTATCATAACATGCAATGCGTCCATTTTTCTCTTTCAGCAATGTATCAATCTATTCTAAAAAACAAATATTATCCCAAACTCTGCAGTTCCCCATCTTAAAGGAGCATTTGAGCGTCTTTCAACTCATTGTTCCTGTCTACATTCACTACTCTTATTATACTTGTGTCAGCTGCAGCAGGCATGCATTTTAAGAAAAAAGGTTAACCTCTGTACACTGCCAGAACCAAACAGCAGACGAGGAGAAGGCGCATTATGAAGAAGACGTCCGGTGGCGAGGGTGTGTGTGTGTGCGTGCGTGTGTGTGCGTGCGTGCGTGCGTGCGTGCGTGTGTGTGTGTGTGTGTGTGACACACTGGCATTTGTTTTCAGAAGATATTATGATAGTGTCGTTCGTTCCGGTGCACACACACATCATGCGCCTTGGTGACCAGACATCTCCTTCATAAAACGAGTAATAGGGGGAATAATCGGGCAGTTCGATATGTGTAGAGGTGTGTGTGTGTAGAGGTGTGTGTGGTTAACACGTAGCAACCTGCAGTCACTCTTAACCCTCCTATTGTCTTCGTGTTCCCCCCCTTACTTTGTTGTGTGTGTGTGTGTGTGTGTGTGTGTGTGTGTGTGTGTGTGTGTGTGTGTGTGTGTGTGTGGGTGTGTGTGGGTGTTTGTGTGTGTGTTTTATCTGATCCGGATGGTTACTAATTCCTTTTCTTTATGGCGGTCATTTTTGACCGGGAACATCATGGGTGTTATTAAGTTGACTGAATCATCCAAAATTCAATGACAGTGGTGATCGGCCATTTTATATGTTCAAATGTCTACTGTGAAGGATATCATAAAGCCTTAATGCAATCGAATGTAAAACAAAAAAGTCATGATTGATGAAAGTAGTAAATCGGTCAGATTTGACCCGAAGACAACAGGAGGGTTAAACTGTTCTGAAGAAGGTAAACACAGTAAAGGCAATGCGTAAAAAGGCACAGCTCTCGGCCTCCTGATGCTGCAGCCATTGCGGCTAAAACATCTAATCACCGAGCTTCAAGCTGAGGATCTTGGGTAATCAGTTCAGTGGGTGTGTGGTGTGTATCGCAATAATGCTCAAAATGTCCCTTATAGGCCTACGTCTGTTTCCGGTGACTTTATTTACGGCTAAAAAGTCCAAGATTATAGAATTAAACAAATAAATTAAAAAAAGGATAATAGTGTGTTATTGTTGAGTAAATAAGACTGTGTTATTTAGAAAAGAATAAAAAATTAGAAGGGAAAAAAAGATTAAAAAAAATACAGATTTCAGTATTCTGAGGCTCTGAGGCCCATTTATTTTCCTCAAAAACGGCAAAAAAGTCAGACATTATACGGTTTAAAATAAAAACAATAATCGTGGCTTGGTATTGAGTAAGAACATGTTTTTATTAACCCCACAGCTTCCGGTCTACCAAGACACGACCGGACAAAAATAAGTGGTGCAGGCACGAAACGTGGCGTATGCACGCAAAACTCGGCCTCAGATCTCAATGGGAATGGTTAGAGTATCATAATCACCCAAAATCAGACTTCTGCGTATCTATTGCACGCATTTCCAATGTGTAAAGTCGTGTATTTTGTACGCAGACTGAAGAGAGTGGGTTGGTGCTCCTTTTCCTACTTGGCGCACCGGTAACTTTCTTGTGCAAACGAGAGGCTGATACCTTAGGCTGAGCCGCCGAATCCCTCGGAACATCATAAAAGCCATTTTCAACTGTTTTCTGGTGGAAGTAAGCAATAAGCTATTGGATGAAATAATATGACTGGTATAGATGCGAAAATTATGTTTTTTTTTAATGTTTATAATGAAACATTATGATAAAATATTTGTATATATTTATAATTCTGCAAATATTACGATAAACTCACAGCTATTTTGCGGCCCGGAAAGTAACACCTCCCCCGGCCCGGGGGTTGGGAACCCCTGGCTTAAATAATGTAATTGTTGGCAAAAAAAAACAAATTTATAGTGGACTGAGCACCACTATCCAATATCACCCTTGTTGTTATCAGGCACATTTACACATCAAGTGTGAGTGTGTGTATTTATTGAGTTGTGAGCAAGTAGCCTAGATAAACTGGGTAAACACAAAGGTACAATTTCAATACATGATAAAAAGACTAGGCTGATAACGAACATAGAGAGAGAGATTTGATGAGCAGAATGTTCATCACCTGCCTTATCTCAACAGGGACCGAGTTTCAAAGCTCTAACAGGTCGGAGTACCTTTGGCCTTCATCAGGAGCGGCCCGGAAACTCCGAGGAGCTGAGGCTGCAGACTGATAAGGAAACAAAAAGGTTAGGAAAAAAACTTGAACTAACCAACTTTTTCTTGCACAGTCTGGTGATTTAGAGGCTTTACTTTATTATTTTTAAACTTCATGGCCTTAACTCAATTACCAAATTTCACTTTCAGTATTTTGCTGCAATATATTAGATATTCATATAAGGACCAATAGGCAAACATTAGTGTTAAGCCTTTTTGCATTCCGTGATATGTGTTAGCATTAAAAACAAACAGAAAACAAGTAAAACAGCTGAAATTCTAAATTGAAAAAGAGAGCCACAGTAAACCCTCATGTTAATATGTTTAAAAATCATCACAGTTGAAGTAGTTGCAACTGTCTTCCCTTCATTTAGGAACTACTTTACTACAATTAATAAGGCCTTTATACCCTACGACGTTCTTGAATTTTTATCTTGGCTTCTTCTAAAGATTAAATAACTCACAGTATGAAAACACATTGGCCAAACAATTTTTGATTCAAAATCAAGCAAGGTTTTCATGTGATGAACTTGTGGACACCACAACATAACCAAGGAGAGTAGCCATGCAAGTCAAAAGAACAACATAATGCAAGAACAATTACAAATCATTTTCATTGATGGTTTGGTGAGATTTCATAGTAATATTAAGAGCAGCCCACAACTTTAAGTAAGATATGTACTGTATATAAGTGTGCCTTGTTGTCTACTAATAGAGGAACTGACTATGAGCCAGAAGTGTGAAATAAATAAATGTAAAGTTATCCTCTTAGCGCTTCATATTTAGAGAAAAATAATTTCACAAATGTAGATGCGGAAAACACTTAATCAAGTTCAGTAATGTTGAAACTGTTTTAAAAATGTAATAATAATACTTTGTGGTTATTGTAGAGGCTGTAGTAAGTGGTGCTGTTCAATTGTACTGAATTAAAAAAAAAGGGATTTTAAGAACTCCAAACGTATTTATACAAACGATGTATGTATTCAATATTATTATTATTATTATTATTATTATTATCAACAGCAACATGAACTACAGTCTCCAGAATTAACATAATGTATATCATAGGCTTGTACATTTAACAATGTAAAGACTTTCTTCATAGGAATTTCTGTAAACATTTGTAATGAACACAACAACTATATAACTCACAGAAAATGCATTCAAAATCCAAACCAATTACGTAACTGTTTCTGTGTTATACAGCTCTTGAGGCAAAGATGGACTCCAAGAAAAATGGCAACACACAAGTCCAGGGACCTGTGGGGGGCATCTTTTTGGAGAAAACAAAGGAGAAGATAACCATATATCAAGCCATGAAGAAACGTCTGCTTAAGCCAGGAACAGCATTAGCCCTGCTGGAAGCACAAGCAGCCACAGTAGGTATCGTAGACCCAATAAACAACAGAATACTTCCTGTTGTAGATGCTGTTAAGGAGGGAATAGTTGGACCGGAGATGAAAGAAAAGCTCCTCATAGCAGAGAAAGCTGTCAGTGGCTATGTAGACCCCTACACTAACCAAATGATATCTGTATTCCAAGCTATTCGAAAAGATTTAGTCCCAATAGAATATGGATTGAGGCTGCTGGAAGCACAGATTGCCACAAACAGCCTGGTTGATCCTGTCGAGAAGTCAACTATTTCAGTTGAATCAGCAATTCAAAAGGGCTACTATGAAAAAGGTTTGCTCAATGACCAGATGTCTGAGCTCAAAGTATTCTACAATCCAAGCTCACAAGAAAATCTAAACTACCAAAACCTCCTAGAAAAATGCACCGTGGAGCCTGACACAGGCCTGGTGCTCCTTCCTGTTAGCATCACTTTTAAAGGTCTGCGGAGAGGTATTTCCTCCACTGAACTTTTTGAGTCAAAGATCATTGACAAACAAACATTTGATGACCTACAGAAGGGAAAGACTAACACACAGGATGTGATGTTGATGGAAACAGTGAAAGAATACCTGGAAGGCAAAGGCAGTATCGCAGGCATTGTTGTACTCTCTTCTAATCAGAGAATGAGCATTTATGAAGCCATGAAGAAAGGTATACTGATGCCTGGAACAGCACTTGTTCTACTGGAGGCACAAGCTGCAACTGGATTCGTGATTGATCCTGTAAAAAATAAAAAGTACACTGTGGATGAGGCCATCAAAAACAACGTTTTTGGCCCAGAATATCATGCAAAGCTGCGTTCTGCTGAGCGAGCAGTTACTGGCTACAAAGACCCATATTCAGGTGGAACTTTATCCCTGTTTCAAGCCATGTCAAAAGACCTCATGGTTAAGGAACATGGGATCCGCCTTCTTGAGGCGCAAATTGCTACAGGTGGAATAATAGATCCCATCAACAGTCACAGACTACCAACAGAAATGGCCTTCAAAAGAGGTTATTTTGATGAAAGAATGAACGCCATACTAGAGGATTCAGGGGATGACACAAAAGGTTTCTTTGACCCAAACACAAAAGATAATCTAACTTATCTTCAGCTGATGCAAAGGTGTGTCACTGATCCAATAACTGGACTGTGTCTCCTCCCTCTCCTCTCCAAGTCAGACTGCCTGAATTTGACCTTTATTGACTACCAAACTAAAATGACTTTCAAAGAGGAGAAGGTCAACGTGACATACGGGAAGTACATGGGAATGACAGTATCTCTGTGGGAACTCCTCATGTCAGAATACTTTGATGAACACCAGAGGCGAGACATCACTCAAAAGTTTAGAGAGGGGAAGCTCAATATCAAGATGGTTACCACAACAATTCTGGAAGTCATTGAAAAGTCTGTGAAAACAACAAACTGCGTCTTTAAAGGCATCAGAGAAACTGTTACAGCCAAACAGCTTGTGGACGCAGATATCATTAGTAAAGAGGTTATGGAGGATCTGAAAAAGGGAAAAACGTCAGTGAAGGAAGTGATGGCAGATGGAAGTGTAAATGTCTACCTACAGGGGAAAGACAGCATTGCAGGCATTTTGCTTCCTGATTCTCAAATCATGAGCATTTACCAGGCCAAACAAAAAGGGAAGTTGATGCCAGGAACTGCTCTGATTCTACTGGAGGCACAAGCAGCAACCGGGTTCATCATTGACCCAATCGGAAACAGAAAGTTTTCAGTGGATGATGCAGTCAAAGCAAAGGTTGTGGGGCCTGATGTGTGTCAAAAGTTGCGCTCAGCAGAGAAAGCGGTCACTGGATACAAAAATCCATATGATGGCCAAATAATCTCATTGTTCCAAGCCATGCAAAATGATCTCATCGTCAAAGACCATGGAATTCGACTCTTGGAAGCACAAATTGCCACTGGTGGGATCATTGACCCAGTGAACAGCCATCGCATTCCTGTCCATGTGGCCTATAAGAAGGGATACTTCAATGAGGAAATTAACGAGATACTGGCTGACCCAAGTGACGACACCAAAGGATTCTTTGACCCCAACACCCATGAGAACCTGACATACTTGCAGCTCATGGCGAGATGTGTTAGAGATCCTAGTACAGGTCTTTTTCTCTTGCCACTCAAAAGCAAAAGCAACAGAATTAACATAGATGAAAATTTGAAGGAGACGTTCAAAGCAACAATAGTTACTGTTAAATATGGAAGGTTCAAAGACAAACACACAACACTTTGGGAACTTATCAATTCAGAGTATTTGACAGAGGACAAAAGACGGGAGCTTTTCAAGCTCTTCAAATCAAGGAAAATCACAATCGAGCAACTGACTGTCACCATTTTAGAGATCATTGAGAGTAAGGAGATAAAACAGCAAGCAGGGCTGAACTTTACGAGTCTCAGAGGAGAGGTCTCTGTGGTGGATCTTTTGCAACTTGAAATAGTGAATGAAACAACTTACAACAGTTTGATTGATGGAACGATAAAAAGCACTGATGTGATGAACATGGAAAGTGTGAGAGATTACCTACATGGGAAAAGTTGTGTAGCTGGAGTGATACTGCAACCCTCCAATAAAAAGCTGAGCGTCTATGAGGCACAGAGAATCGGCATTCTCACACCTGGCACTGCCCTCTGCCTACTTGAAGCACAAGCGGCCACAGGGTTTATTGTTGATCCTTTGCAAAACAAGAAACTCACAGTAAAACAAGCTATCAGAGAAAAGTTGATTGGTCCACAGATGCATGAAAAGCTGTTGTCTGCAGAGAGGGCGGTCACTGGATACACAGATCCATACACTGGTCAAAAGATCTCTCTTTTCCAAGCTTTACAAAAGGATCTGATTGTCAAGCAGCATGGCCTCCGTTTACTTGAGGCCCAGATTGCTACAGGTGGTATCATTGATCCTTTGAAGTGTCTTCACTTACCTCTTGAGGTTGCATACAGGAAAGGGTATTTTGATGCAGAACTTAATAAGGCCCTAACAGATCCGACTGATGACACAAAAGGGTTTTTTGACCCAAAGACACAACGTAATTTGACATACATGGAGATGCTAGGTAGATGTGTAAAAGATAAGGAAACAGGACTGTTTCTCCTGCCACTGACTGACAAGCCAAAAGCTACTGAGACAAAGGTAAAAATGTACACGGACACAGAGATAAAGCAAGAGCTTCAAAAGACAACAATGACCGTATCAGTAGGACACTACTCAGGAAAATCTGTTTCTCTCTGGGACTTGATTCACTCTGGGTACTTTACCGAGGATCAGCAGCTTGAATTCATTGAGAAGTACAGAGCAAGAAAGATTACCACAGAAACCATAATTACATCAGTGATTTCCACCATTAAAAAACTGGAGAAGAGCAAAACTTCCACGATGATAATGGGCCTGAGAAAACCGGTCTCTGCACAAAAGCTACTAGATTCTGATGTTATTGATGCAGACACATTCAAACAGGTGAATAAAGGAAAATTCACGCTTGAATCAGTTGTCCAACATGAACCTGTGAGAGGATACCTTAAGGGAACCGGAAGCATTGCTGGAATAAAAGTTCATCCATCTCAACAAGTAATGAGCATATATGAGGCAAAAAAGGAAGATCTGTTGACACCTGGCATTGCACTTCTACTGCTTGAGGCGCAGGCAGGAACAGGATGGATCATTGATCCTCTGAAAAACAAGAACTATACTGTTGATGAGGCAGCAAAAGAAAAAATAATTGGACCAGATTTACATGAGCAACTTCTCTCAGCTGAAAGAGCTGTCACTGGCTACAAAGATCCATACACTGATGCAACAATATCACTGTTTGAAGCCATGGATAAACAGCTGATTCAAAAAAGTGATGGTATACGTCTTCTTGAGGCGCAGATGGCAACTGGAGGAATCATAGACCCAAATCAAAGTCACAGACTACCTGTTCATGTTGCTATCAAAAAGGGATATCTGGATGACGAAATCAGCAAAACTCTGTTGAACCCAGATGATGACGCAAAGGGATTTTTTGACCCAAACACTAAAGAGAAAATCTCTTACCATCAGCTGATAAAGCAATGCGAGAAAGATCCTGAAACTGGGCTACTTCTTCTACCCCTGTACAAAGAGCAATCCCATGTATTTCACACTGATGAGCAAATAGAGCTTACACTCAAAAACAAAGCTATCATCATAAATGCAGGGAGATTTAAAGACAAAGAAGTGACATTGTGGGAAGTGTTACTCTCTGAATATATTTCGGAACAAAAAAGGGAGCAGCTCATACAACAATACAAGAAAGGAGCCACGAAAATAGAGGAGCTCATTGAAATACTCACTGTTATTGTTACAGAAGTTTCATCCAAAGAAAGAAAGTTTAAAGGACTTCGAAAGCAAGTTTCAGCCAGTGAGTTGTTTGAGTCTAAGATTATCTCAAAAGAGCTTTTCACACAGATAATACAAGGGGAAATAACCGAAGATAATGTTGACAAGATGGAATCGATTCAAAAATACCTCGGAGCTACAAACTGTATAGCAGGTGTCAGAATTGAATCTACAAAGAAAGTGATGAGCATCTACGAGGCCAAGACAAAACGCCTGCTGACCCCTGGGACATCTCTTATACTGCTTGAGGCACAAGCTGCCACTGGTTTTGTCATTGACCCAGTGAAAAACAAGAAACTCTCTGTAGAGGAAGCTGTGGCTCAAGGAGTGGTTGGCAGTGAGTGGAAAAAAAAACTGCTTTCAGCAGAAAGGGCAGTGACAGGATACATAGATCACTACACTGGAAACACAATTTCATTGTTCCAAGCCTTGAAAAAAGATCTTATTGTGAAAGATCATGGAATTCGTCTCCTTGAAGCCCAAATTGCCACTGGAGGCATAATTGACCCAGTGCACAGTCACAGAGTACCTGTACAGGTGGCATACACAAGAGGTTACTTTGATGAAGAAATGAACCAGATCCTGTCCGACCCTGATGATGACACCAAGGGCTTCTTTGATCCCAACACTCAAGAGAACATCACATATCTTCAGCTGGTTGAGAGGTGTGTCACAGATCCCATTACAGGCCTCAGTTTACTATCATTGAAAAAGTGAATGAAACCAAAGCTTTCTTCATGCATTTCATTTTCTGTTGTGCTTGCACTCTTAGATTTTTACTCAACAGAATTCAGGATGTTGAAACACGAGAGAAAAATACACGCATACTGTTGTTCTCCAACTACTGTTACTTGTAATGCTTCAGTTACAACTGCTTGTTGTGGAGTGTAGATTATTTGAACCAGCACCCACAAAACAAGTGACACTGACACAACTCCATTTTGGAATTTAGCCATTCTTAACCCCCCTCAAAATAAATCAACTTTGAGAAATGTTGAATTTAGTGGCCGTAAAACTCTATTAAACTGATGAAATCATCTCTTTTCTCAAAACATACATACAGATCTTACATAGATAAACACTTAAAATAGAGCATATTGTTTTTAAATCTTTGTTTTCTGCATTCTTGGCTGTTACTGGGAAATAACATCGTAGATTTGCAATACTTTTTGGGGATTTTGTATTCTTCTGCACAGCACTTGGGTCTGGATGTTTTAGAGTGCTTAATAAATAAAGTTGGATTGGATTTGTGGGAATTATGAATTGTAGTATCGTATGTTGATGTGGGTAGATGGAGTTAAGCTTTGCCTATAGAAGCTAGACTTAGTTATGTTACCATTTAGAACACTTAATTACAAATTAAGTTATACTTTGCTTTCATTTGAAGTCAGTCCTGCTCTTATTGTATTATTGTAAATTATGTTTTGTTGATACTATTTCATTATATGACCAACTAAACAAATGAAATACTATATATATTTTCTTTTAAATATTTTGTCAGAACATCTTGACATTTTTGGAAGTTGATGTGTATTGAATAACACTTTCAAATTATTTCCTGATTGAAGAGTCCTCACATGTTGGACAACTCTTAAATCACCCATAATCATTTCTGTTCAACAACAATAAAGCAAATAAAATGAAAAACATTTGTTTTATTTCAAACAAGAGTGTGAAATATGTCTCTCAATTGGAAACACTTAAATGTATATCCGTAACAAATATGTGAATGCAGCAAGAAAGCATTTGGTCTTTCTGTAAATTAAGCTTAAAAGTGCAGCACCCTCTAGTGGAAGGACAGTATTACAAACTTTAAAGTGACATGTTAAAGTTTTATATTTAATATCAGTTATTGACGACATTCCTTAAAAAACAATCCATGTTTTTAAGACATTGAAATAAGCCTTTCGGATTCTGATTTTTGAATCCCGAATAAATGTGACAACCACTACAGTTTGTCCAGCAGCTGGCGAATGTCTTCTTGGCCACGGTAAATTCTCTTTATTCCTCTTGGAAGATAGCGGCAGGATGAAAGGTTAAGGTACCTAAGAGCCGTTGTTTGGCCGATGACTGGCCTGCAAAATAAAGCAAAGACACCAATTTATTTTTGTGAAACCCTTGGAAAGATAATGAAAATGCTAAATCTGCAATACTTAAGATTTACAAATGTCATGCTGGATTCATGATCAGTTCTGATGATGTGATTGTCAAACGTTTATTTGATTAATGGGACTGGTAGAGTCAAGAAAAACTATACATTAAGTACCTGAGGGCAGGTGGTGTGATCCTGGTCCCACTCAGGTTCAGTGAATGGAGGGTATCTGCCTCTGAGGCCTGAGCGAGATGACTCATGGCTATCTCCAGGTCCTCCTCGGAGAAGAGCTGATTTGCAATGTCAAGCTGTTGCAGTGTTCGACTCCATTTCTGGGTGACCATGTGAAGCTCCTTCTTCGGTGATGATAACCCAACATTGCTGCAGAAATACTGTCCCCAGAACAGACACTCCAGTTCTGCCAAATCACAGCAAAAATAAAGGAGTATTAATTAATAAATTGGGTTTTTAATGACACTCAGATCTGATATTAAGAACACAGCAGGCTATTTTATTAGGAACTTAAAAATAATAAACATTCCATTGTAAATGTGCTTAAAGATAAGTATAAAAAAGGGGTATTTCATCTCATCAATAATAGTTCAAGACATTGTGGATTTCACATGAAAAGACCAGCCTATCATAATTAGTTCCCAATGTAAATCTTGCTTAAAGCTTTTTGAGTTATTATGTTCCAGTAGTGTGTTATATAGGTTTTTTCTGCATGTAAATGATCTGCAAAGGTTAAAGTCCCTGTGTTCCCTCCAGATGCAGTTTCCCCCCCGCCCCTGCCTGAAATGTCTCCATTGGTCTTGTTTACTCCGGTAACATAATGACATCACTATGTAACACTATCGCTTCTGTTGGCTATATAGCGCTCTAACACATTGTACTTGATAAGCTAAGAGGCGGGACATCTCTAAGCGGTTGACCAATCACAACAGAGCCGGCCAGCTAACAAATCAGAGCAGACTGGGCTCAGAGGCCTGTACTACGAAGCTGGATTTTCGCTTAGCAAGCTAACTTCAGGGAAAACTTAATTTTCGGTCCTACGACGCTGGTTCACTTCTTAGCGGGCTAGATCTCCATGGTAACTTATGCTGAACGGCTAGCCTGCTCCGGAGCAGGTTAGGTTGCAGGCTAAGAGATCAACTCAGTGAAAGCAGCACCTGCTGACCAATCAGAGCTCAGTGTGCAGAGTTTAAAGCTATCAAGTCATATTACAGGACAAAGGAAATACCGTTTAAACTGCCGTTGCAGGAAAGACGGCCGGCAAAAATCACTGACTGTGTGAACGTGAACATTAATAGAATATCACCTCCTATCTTCAGAGCAATCTCACTATCTTAACATTAGCGTTAAGAAAGCTTACTTAAATATCTGCCACAACATAAGTAACCAGATCAAAGTAACATGACGTACAGTCCGCGGCACTGTGAGTGCAGACGTTGATGTGTCCCATTATCCTTCATATCACATCATAATGTATCATATTTCCTTATCTGAGTCAGCTGAGCCGTATCTGGCCGTGCAACACTCACAGTGTCACATACTGTATGCAGAAGTATTATTTTAAGCAACACATTAAGTTGACGAAACACTCGAGTCAAATGTAATTAAAGTCAGATCGTGTCTTAGATGGGGAAGTGATATCATAAACCTGTTAATGTACGCATTCAAACACTTTTTCTTTTACCAGCTGTATTCACCTTGCAGGTGCAGCTATGTGGCTTTGATCCTGGATAAAGTGTTTAAGTCATGGATGTTTAAAGTTTAACTTCTTCATATGTCTAATATTATAGTTGACTTTTCATTCAGGAAGTATGACGCTGCGCTGTCAGTGCGCTTCTCCATGTTTGTGATTGGTCGAATGCTCCAAATACCACCCCTTTCATGTGAACGCGCACCTAACTAGATAGGACACGGCTGGCTTGAGCGATCCATTTGATAACCCGCGTCGTAGGACCGCTTAGCGAGAGCGCGTATGTTTTGGATTAGGCCAACCGGCTAACTCAAACATATCCAGGTTAGGTTGAACCAGCTTCGTAGTACAGGCCTCTGGTTTCAGACAGAGGGTGAAAAGAGGTGCTGCAGCACAGACAGTATGAGAACAATAAAGAAATTTTTGTAACGCCAAATCAACAAATAAACTAAATGTATCACATGAGTTAAGCGTACCAAGACAGGGTAGTGATGAGAGACCGGATGGTGTGATTCGTGAACAGCCTCGCAGGTCCAGCACCCGCAGCCTGGTGGAGCCAAACAGGATGTCCCACAAATCTTTATCAGTCATGTAGGAATAAGAGGTGGTTGCGATACACAGCTCCTCCAGTAACGGGAAGCCTAATGTTGAATCTGCACTATTACGCATCGTCTTATGCAGGGGCCTCACATTCAGCATCCGGAAGGTCTGATAGGAATTACAATAAAAGTGCAAGTTTCATGGGTAAACAATGTAAACACATCTGGTATACTAATGTAATGTAATGGTATACTCATTTATTGTTCAGTGGCAGGTAGCAAAGAGAGTGAAACATGTATCGCTAACAAGCGGCTAAAATGTAAAACTGAACTTGCAAATAACAATTATTCCAATGGATTAATCAGCCGATTATTTCCTCCATAAATCATGTTGATTTTAAAATGTCATAAAATAGTGACGATTTCTGTATTGTCTGACCAGCAGTCCAAAACTGCTTTAGGTTATTTTCTTACCTTGAGTTTAGGGCATGCCATGTGTAGTGCGTGGATGAAAACAGGAAGTTCACAATCTTTACTGTCTAGCTTTGTGTTGACCTCCAACAACTCCAAATCAGGACAGCTCCCCTTCTGAAATAACAAATCCAATATGTTGAGAGTAACAAGTGTATCTGCTCTCCATGGCTTCAGGTCTATGTGTATTGCATACACTCAAACAACATAGCTGGAAGGCTAGGTGTGACTTACGGTGATCGCTGACAGAAGTCTGTCATTCTTTATTCCATGAGTGAACAGAATCTGCTTGATCTGGCTCCCATGATTTTCAAGATACTCCAGGACCCCCTCAACCTGAAACTACAAAAAAAAGGTTTATTTAGATTTGAAGTCTCATGTTTTTCATATTTCACTCGGTCCTGTAGGTACACTTTCATAAATGTCTACAGTTGCATTCAAACTAAATCAGGCATTGTTATGGTGAGCACAGGGTTGTACAGCAGAATTGAGGGTGACTCATTTGGTAAACCTATGAGATCCTCATTGATTGCAAGTAATGTGATTTGTCACCGCTTCCAGGGAGGGCGGTGTTTAGCTTAGTTTTATCTTCTCTCTCTGCTGCTTTTTCCAGCTTCCCCCTGCCGTCCTCACTGTTGCAGCCCAAACTCACGTCGAACATTCTGACGAGTGGTATGATTGCAGCCTAATTGTTGGATATTTTATTGTAATGCAAAATTGATTTAACTGCTCCCGCAACAAGTAAGTGTTAAAATGTGTATTTTTGACTATGGGGTTAATGGTGCTTTTAAAGATGACAACATCTAATACATTCTAGGATGCATCCACCACTAACATTTTCTTTTTACAGTGAAACTAATTCAACTGCTGAGCTGGTCCTGGACATACCTCTGAGTGCTGCAGATCTATGCCCTGCAGAGACTGGCTGTGCAGACCGAGGCTGTGGAAGGCTGTCGCTGCCAGGCCTGTACAGTAGGAGATCTTGAGGGAGCGGAGGTGGGGGCAAAACTGCGACACAACCTTCATTTAGCAGAAAAACATAGGGTAAATACAACCTGCGATGATAAAGACGGCATCCTATGAATTATCAGACAATATTTTGTAACAAAAATGCATTAAAATGACTCTCTACTCCAAGCTGGTCCATACTTTGTTACACTTTTTTTTAGAACAAAACTATTCAAATACAGTTTATTGGATTTGGTTAACAATTACACTTCCATAATTGACGCACCTGATGATTATTTTCAAAATGGACATTTTGTTTTTAAAATGTCAGACTATAACATTCCTGTGCCAGACGTAATGTAGTAGATATTCAAACACTCAAAAATCATCTTTAGCTTTTTGGATATATGACAAAAATAGAACCACATTTAAGACACTAAAAACAGCAAGTATTTAGATAAAAAGTGATAGAAACAATTAAATAATTATCAAAATAGAAGGCTGGTTGATTTCTCAACTGATTGGTTTATTGAATAATCTTTGCAGTTAAGAAGCTTATGACATAAAAGACAGATATCTAGTGTTGGTGACTTACCTCCACTGCATAGGTGACATTCTTTTTCCAGTGACAGAGAGAGAAGTTTCGTAGCTGAGAGAATCTAAAGAACAACGACTACATCTTATATATTTTTTTAAAACAAATCGAAAAATACAAGACCTACAAGCACAAACTAAATAACAGTTTATTGTCTCTACAAATGCAGACCTGTTCTGTGCCATCCAATCAAAAGTCTCCTTAATCTTCATCTCAGTTTTAGGTAGCTGGGTTTTCCCTGGTGCAATCCAGCAGTGACCCACAGTAACTTTACGCCACAGGACCGGACTGGAGGCAGCAGTGTTCCACAAGCGACAAACTCGTCCCACCCTGAACCAGAACAGCAGAAGAAAAGTTAGGTTGGTCTGAAATAAACAATAATAATAAACGGAACAGCAAAAAATGCATTACATACATAAAAGTATGACTAGGCAACCACCATTACATCAAACAGCAACAACAACAAAATAAGTACTCAGTATTATATTAGTCCATCATTGCATTACAATCAATTAAAGTCAAACTGCTTTGTCCAGTTTTTTCGCCCCAAATCCATAAGCATTTGGTGGGTTTTTTCTATGGTATTTTATTGAATACATGTGGAATTGTATACTGTATAATAATACAATTGACTGTTCGGGTCTATAATAATATTTCACATGTAGCTCTTTGAAATTGTGATTAAATGTGACATTAAATGGATCAAATCTTAAATTATGTGATAATCTGTCATTTCAACAATTATGTAAATAATGATGGCACTCCTAATTTATTTATTTTCTCAAGTTAAACAACAATTTTGGAGTTATAGATTTGGACGACTGCATTTTTAAAAGCCATTTGATCATCCCATTATAGCTTTCCAATTAAAGTAGATTTTAGAAAGATAATTTTGTGTTAAATGATTTGCTCGATAAGCTATATCCTCATCGAATCTTAGTATAAATTCGAGATATTTGAGTAGTCACTAAGCTAAGCTACATCAAATCAAATATGTGTTTATTACCTGCAGAGAAATGGTACAGCGCCATCCTGGACCACCACCATCTGAAAAATACTGACTAGCACCTCCTCAGGGAGACTCTGACCCCATCTGTGGTCTGTTGTTTTCTGTGGTACAAACAGATTAGTGTCCTCTTTTTTCTTCACAACAGGATTATTTGCCACTTTAGGTTTGGGATGGACTGTCTTTTGTTTCTTAATCTGACTAGCTTTTCCTTTTCCTTTAGTAAGCTTCTTTTTTTTGCTTCCCTTCTTTGGGGGGGTCCAAGCCGAGCCGGCGTACTGAGAAGTGGAACTGGATATGACCAGAAGCATATCCTCCCCTTGATGCACGGTGTAGCCCAGCGGGACAGGCCGGGAGACTCTTTTACGCTTCTTGGCCTTTGCATTTGTAGGTTTACTAGTTGTCCTCTTCAAAGATGACTTCTTGGTCTTTGGTCCATCTTCTCCTTGACCTGATGTACTTGATGTGCTCGGTGTGGTGTCTTCACTTCTTTCACTGTGGGTTGGAGCCTCTGCTTCCATCGTGTACTAATAATTAGTCTTTATCAGAAGCTTTTGTCAAATAACCAGACAGTGGCTGAGAAGTAACATATCGGCTTCTGAAAAAAAGAAAACAAATAACATTAGTCTGTATCTGTGTGGGTGATTTATTGTAGATAAGAATGATAAACAAAATGGTGAGACATGCAGCACAGTGGATCGATGTAAATCCAGAGTAACTTGTGAGCTTGCAATCATATCTAGTGATTTACTTGTTTTACAACTTTCTTAATACATAAAGCTTATGCTAATGTAATAGTGTGTCAGCTAAATGGGATCGTACAATAGAGCAGAATCCTGTATATAGTGTCATATAAATCCTACATGCTTTAAACAAACACGGTATATGGACATGCACACATACTGTAAATAATGATTATTCACTCTGTGTTTAGTATTTACTCCATTGAGCGATTTGTTTAATTTAAAACAGAACACTTTTACTTTAGTGTTGGTCATTTGTGATATTATATTTATATATAGGCTACTGTTATTAAACAATTTGTTCGCATACTTGTCTACATAATAGTCCTGTCTGACCTTAACCTTTGTTGTCCTTGTTCCTGAATGTTATGTCTATTTTTGTGCAAGTACATAAAGAGTAATGTAAAAAAGAAGACCAGTCAAATTCCTTGTATGTGTACACATTATCGGAAAATAAGGCTATTACATTTGTCTATGTTATGCTTTTGGGTTCCAATCATGTTGCATTGCTCAAGTATCTGTAATATTGTATTATTAATATACACTATGGGAGTTTCGTAAAATCGATCAGCAAAGATATGTGGGGTGAATGGTATCTTTTGTTTTTAAACTGTGCTGCTGCAATATTGATCAAGGAAACAGCTGGAATCCATGGAAATGTAACGTGTAACTAACAGACTTATTTCATAAATGTGTCAATGTGCGTGCGCATCCTCTATTGTTTGTAAACGGAAGCTAGTCAAGCTAGTCAAGCTAGTCACATCCAAACTATGTCTGTGAAGTGTTAAAAGAGAAGACTGCAAAAATAAAATAAAATAAAACAACAGCGTTCTGTATGGTGCTAAATACTAATTAAGCATTTACTTATAAGAGCACATTGCAACGTTGATTTGTTAGCTAGCTAAATTAATCATACCAGCTCATAATGTAATGAGCTAACGTTACTGTTGCAACTATCTAGGAAGTTGACGAGCCACCGTGCAACATAACGTAGCGGAAAGGTGGAACAACATGTGCAACTGCGTTGACAAAAAACGATATGAACACACACACAACAGAAAAAAGTACAAATTAATTCGTTGCTATTTTTGCAATACCTGCTGCTGGTTCACCAACACCGCTGGCAAACGGCTACTTCCATCTTCCGTAGTATACCCACATCCCACAATGAATTTAACATTGCTCCTGTGATTGGTGGAGACTTCAAGTACAGCCCGCCTTTGTAAAGCTATCCAATCATTGGCCAGCCTGCTGTCCATGTTTTGACTCCCTCATGCTGTTTACTGAGGTTCAGAAAAGCACGGTGGTGTCGTTTTGGGGTAAGAACTAATACTTTAGAACGACTTTTACTGATACTTGTCCTTTTGAAATTACTTGTAAATGCTATAGTACGCAAAAAGGTCTTATTCTCTGGTATCATTCAAGATTTATTGCAGTATATTATGCTACATTTCCTGTACATAAAGTTGGTGCTAACGCTAGCAAGTTGCTCACAACAATGCTAACATTAGCATGCCGAGCTATTGTAGCATTAGCCCTCATTTGCAAGTTGAGTGTTAATGCTTTTTTAGTTAAAGTTTATTTTTACAATTAATCACGGAAATTGTCTAGTGTTGTCCTTTTTATAGTATTTTTTGCAAAAGCAAAATGTATGTGCTCCCAGCTAATAAGGCTCTCCAGGTGTAGGCTACTGGTCAAGGCGAGGGACTCCCTGAGTGGATAAGACCCCATAACTATAGTGGCTCATAATAAACAGATGTATACTAATTTTACTGTTGATAAGGTATACCATTCTAAACAAATATATTGTCTAATACAATGGCCCTGCGCAAAAAAAATGTAACATAGGTTATTGCCTAATGTTTGGACGCTGATGTCTGTTTCACTGTAATTTGTTGTAATTATGATGTTTAATATTTTTCAAGTAGATCAAGATTTGAGAAACATTCTACAACATAATATAAATGTACTTTTTGGTACAAACTATTACAATCTTTTGATAAAATGTAGCATCATTAACGTAAAAGATAAATGTTGGAAAAAGTTTACAACTAAACTTTTTTTTCTTTTCAGCAGGGTAATGAGTGACTTTTCCTACAGAACTTCAGTATAGTGTTATTGTGCATGCTACTGCCAGGGGGAGGCATTCTTCTGCTGTCCCCACAACATCACTGAAAGTGTGATTTTTCTGTGTAATTCACCTATTGCTCATTCAGAAGAACAGACTATAAGAACTGTAACCTTCAAAGTTAATCTTATTCTTACTAATGCCATGATGCCGTCTTACAGCATTATTGTTTTATATTTGTACTGGTAGTAGTTTCCAGGATGGTTTTCTTTGCTTTTCAGGATTGATAAAAGATGTGACAAACTGATACAAAAAAAACGATCCTTATCTAAAATAGATGGAAACAGCCATAGTTACAAAAATGATTGTGGATTTAAGGTTTTACACACCCGGGTATTTACCAAGACTTTGAGTATTGTTACACATGAACATCCCCTTTCTTCTTGGTGTGGTTATGCTTCTGAATGATGAAGATGCCCCCTTTTTCTTTTTTGAACGGTGACTCTCTTTTCAGACAGCACACAATGGAGGATGTCCAAGATTTCTCCCTTGGTGGTAAAGAGGCAGTAACAGAAGCTAATCTGAGTAAGTCTAACACTTTAACCATGCTTTTAACGTGAGTAAGTCCAACTTGTAGTTAAATTGTTATCAAGATACGACATGATGAAATTCACTATATACTGCAAGTCTTTGGGAACAGTTTTCTGGAATTATTTTATATTTATAGCATTACAACCTTTCTGAATGTTTCCATCTTCAGTGGTTTAAAATTGAAAGCGCAAATTTAATTAATTAAACCCATAAAAATCCTAGATTTTGTACTTTTCTGCTCACTTGCCAATTTGTCTGTTTTTCAGGAGATGAGTACTATTGGAAGCTTGTTGCAGACTTCATTGGTCCTCAATCAGGAGAAGGATTGGAGCTTGAAAGTGCACCATGCAAGAACAGACTTTTAATTCAAGTAGGACTTCTGACAGAGGACAATAATTTTCCATGGATTGCCATCGTATCTTGGCTAATGAAAATCTTCCCGAGTCATTGGTCAACTAACTTTCGTTGTTTGGTGGAAAGAGGCATCGCAACCACGTTGAGTCTGGGAAGTGATGCAAGGCAAATCTTTCTTGATTCAGACGTCAACTTTAACTTTGTTGGCCCAATATGTGACAGCATTGGAGTTGAACGGCAACATCTTTTGGAAATTAGGGATTTTAGTGAGCGAGCACAGTCAATAGAAGTCACTAATGGGCTGATTCTCGAGTTGAGCAACTTTGTCAGCAGGGAGAAACTTGCACCAGTTGTTATAGTGACTTGGCTTAGAAACTTCAACCCTGAGTTTTGTAAGAAAGGGGATTTTCAAAAGGCATATAAAGTCCTTAGACCTAAGATAAAGAAGTTAAAACTGCATTACCGCAATTATGAAACAAGGAGTCACAGGAGGAATGCAGCGATGGAAAATCTGCTTCAAAGTCCATTTGAACTGGTGCGTAAGAAAATGCCCAAAGTGACTGTGAAGAAGCGCATGAGAAAAGACGACACCATCCATTTAGAAAAAGTTATAATCAAGGAGGAATATGAGAGCCATGAAATCACGGAAGGGGAGGAATCTAACCTGAGAAGAGACGTAAAGAAAATAATTGTGAAAGAAGATGCCTCTTTAAACGATGACAGTGATGAGGATTTGGACGAGTCCAACGATGGAGAAGAAACGTCAGATAACAAAGAAGATACCTCGACTCTGCTTGACATTGCAATGCTGTCTGTCCAAAAGCTGTCCAAAATGTACGGTGGGAAAACCGAAGCATGCAAGCAAGTTTGCTTGGATCTCCTCAAAAATCAGTATGCTCTGACATGCAAGGAGCATCGAGCCATGGCAGAGTTTGAGCAAAAACTAGACACACTTTGTGGAGAGCCTTCACTTGTTTACCCCGTTGTGTTTTTAAACTACAATGCCAATTTCCTTGTTGACTTGCAAGATGCTGTGGAGCAGCAGATCATGGCCTTTGAGAAAGAGATCATTCTATCAACCGGAGAGAAACTAGGCCGGGACAGACTTTCAAAATTCAAGAGCTTTGTGAATTTGTCTGAAAGTACCACTTCACGCTACATCCACATGGCTTGTGATATCCTAAATACAACCAACCCTTACATGAACAACTACAGGAAACACTGGGTAGCTTTCTGCGAAGAAAAGAAAAACCCCTCCAGAATTGCAGTAAATCCATCAAAACGATTCCAGAACTACTTCGAAGCTGCAGCGGGTCTTATCCACCATCACAAAGAGACGGCTCTGTTCTTTTCTGATTTGCTTGCAATGACAAACGACACAAACATTATTCTGGAGAGCGTTGCTGCTGATGCTAATGACTCAGTGATTCAGAGCTTTGTGTGTGTCCTGGCCATTGTTTACTGCAAAGTCCTCGGTCCTTACTGGCAGCTCCTGAATAGCAGCGGAGATTACTCCCTCTTCTGCCAGTACATACTCTCCCTGTACCAAAAGTTCCTCGATTGGTCCAAAGATCCTTCAACACTGCTAGAACCTGAAGCTGAGACAAATGTTTTTCTGCAGTACCCATCACAGGAGAAAATCTTTGATGGAGTGTTTCATTTCTGTGGCCAGTGGCACACTAATAGGGACCTTATCAGAGCTTGCCTGAAAAGGATAGTGAAGGTGATTGCTGCTGTCACTGAGGAACACTTGAAGGATTTCCTGCCAGGAGGAACGTTTGGTCAAATCCCTTCACCAGATCTGATCTCACAACTGGAAAGTTGCACATTTTCCGCCTTGATGGCGAAATATCCTTTCAGCACTGCAGAAGAAAGTCCCATCAAGAAGAAAAAACCTGACAAGTCTTACAAACGCTCTTCACAGAAGAACCTTCAGGAAGATGATGACCAATCCGGTTCCTCTGACAGCAGCTCCGATGAATCTTCCAGTTGGCAAAGAAGTGGCCAAAATGATGCCGACAGTCCCAAGATTAAGAAAGTAAGAAAAGTACAGGAAGAGCGAGTGGAGAACAACGATAGGGATTACATTGTAGCTAAAGTGAAAAGAAACGGCGGGCCATGCAAGACACAGCAGGATGTGGACAAAATGATGCTGCGCTTTGACGGAAAAACGAGGGAAGAGAAACGGGAAGGAATCCGTTGTGAGATAATGTACCAGAAAATGGTTTTGGACAACACAGACCAAAACTTGGGTGGTACTTTCAGCAACACCACACAAATGGTGTTGAAGCTGAAACTTGCACTTCCTCGTGTTAAACCTGGTTACTCGCTTGTTTGGGCCCCTAAAAGAACAAATACAAAGCCTGTGGTTCAACCTAATGCTGCTACTGGATGGGATGTGGCAACAGCAAATGAGAATCTTAATGGCGTCTGAAAAAAAGTGTGGTTTTGGAGAAGAGAGAATAATTGTCACTCTCTTATGATTTTACATTTGCTAACTAATCAAAAATATAAACAATGACTGTTATCCTTTTTATTGTATCATTCTGTATATATCTATTGCAGCTGTCATGTGTGTTACTTACTGTACTTTAACTGCCTTTATTTAAAAATATAAGGTTTGATTGTTGTAGATTATCATATGCATATAGTTGTATAATTTGTACGGTGCTGTTTTGTTACCAGCCTTTCTTTAAAGGTAACTTTTTCCGTTACTGGGGGAAACTTTTTTTTTTAATACATGATTATGCATTGTGATTATGAGGTCATTTGATAACTGCTGACTTAAAATATGTTGTATAAACCGCTAATGAAATAAACAACGCCTTAGTGCATAGTTTGTTATTTACTGCCTGTAGAGATGTAAGCTTATGTTTAGGCTCTAATTAACATTGTCTCCCTGGAATTAGGTCCCTTAATATCGTGTTTTTCTCAGATTTGAAGGGTATTCCTGTTTGCATTAAGTCAATGAGTTCATGCATATAAAAGCCTTGACTGGGAGGGGCTCAAGATTACAGAAAGGCAGCACTGAAAGAGGGTTCACTGTGCCAGATGTCAAAGCCTTATAGTCTAGCAGGAAGGGCCCTCAGATTTTGAGATACCCCTACCCGAGGTAGAACAAATGACAACAATGATTTTCCTTATCTTTAGGGTCTCCCATTAA